GTCCTGGTAAATTATTTCTTCTTTTGTAGCATTATTATTTGTAGGATTTCTTCTTAATGTTCAAAATAAATGACAGTGTAGTTGGATAAGGACTAGGGGGGCTTGTTTTTTTGTTTTTTTACTTACTCCCCAAAAGACTGATCTTTTTGGCTGAATGCATGTGGGTGTTTTTGGAGGGGGAGATTGTGGGTGTGGACAAATGTGTGTGTGCTCTGTGTGTGTGTGTGGAGAGAAATGCTTGTATATAATAGTATTGAAATGGCTTATACCAAAATTCTCCCTTGACCAATGTGGATGGGGTTGGGGAAAGACGAGGTGAGGTGTAACAATTAAAATGCAGTACCTGCGTAGCTTTAGAAAAATTTCGGAAACCCCCCACCCTCCCTAATCAGTCCACATCCCCACAAGTGGTACCTCTGGATGGTTCAGAAGCCATTTTAGAACTCAGGAAGCAGAATTTGTGAGTTCCACTTGCGCTTTTGCAGGTGTTGTGGTAGAAAGGATAACTTTTGCTCACTGCCTGGTGTGTTACCATGCTGTTTTTAATGTCTTTGAGGGCTAAAATTCCAAACCCACAGTCAACACCTCAACTTCGCAGTGTTTCTATAGCAGATGGCAAAACATTTCACTGGAACCTTTATTTGGCAAGTCAGTATCCAGATCTGGGCAGTCTTTATTTTTTTGAGGCATCGTTGAAGATCCATATTCGATTTTCTGATCTGTTCCGGATTGAAAAACAAGAAGAACCCTTCTAGGTGTTTGGTGCACACCGGTCCCGTTCTCCCCTCCCCCACGCCCCAAAGCTCTGGCAGGTCTGCAATTTTGGGTGTTTCAGACTGAGGATCCTTCCAAAGTAAAGTGTATTTTCAGTGTTGGATGTCTAGCAATTTATGGAGGGAGGAGGGAAGCAACACCATAAGGTAATTTCTCCGGATAGTCTAAGGGGCTGAAAAGTTAGAGAGGCATTTGTATCCTCGCAGTTGGACACAAGGCTCAGAGCCCGGCTGCCCTAAGCTGTAGTGGGGGAGGGCGAAGTAGTGTTGGCATTGACACTGGACACGGAGTTGTTCTAGCCGTCTGGCCGCGTTCGGCGGCCAGCTCACCTCTGCAAAGAGCTTAGCGCCTACCAACCCGCCTATCTCAGCTCCTACACCGCCCTCCTGTTCCTGTGTCCCGCACAGGTCGTCAGAACCATCCAGTAGGATGGCCGCCTACTCCTTGAGGACTGTCGCCTGCGTCAAGGCCGAGGAGACCTGGCCGCCGGGGTAGTCCGTAGCCCCCTGGACGTTACTGCGGCGGCGGCGGCGGCCGGGAGGTGTCCGGGCCCGCTCCCTTCCCCGCCCCCAGCTCCCGCCTCTAGCCTGCTGCGCTGTGCGCCCGACTCGCCTCAGCCGGCTGGCGCGGCCGCGCACTCACTCACTCCGAGGGCGCCTCCAAAGTTCCCCGAGGGGTGGGGGCTGGGGCAGGCTCTGGCCACTGGCCTGCTCTGCTGCTTTCCTAGCGCAGCGGCCCTTCCACCGCTTCAGGGAGACCAGGATCCAAACCCCAAAGCAGAAGACGCTCCAAAGTCCGGGGAGGGAAGTTGAGTTGGGAGGCAGTCAGGCGTCTGGGCAGGGGGGCGGCCTTAGTTGGATCCGGGTGACCGGAGAGCCAGGTCAGGCGAGGTCGCGGCAGGAGGGGGCTGTGCCTCCAGCGAGCGCGCTCTGTGCTGCTAATGCTGGGTCGGGGGCTGGGCGCGGGGCCGCAGGCAGTCCCGAAGCGTCCTAGGCTCCCGAGGCGCCCGGGCCCGCTGGGGGTCAGAGACAAACGGGCGGCCAAACCTGCTGTGGAAACTAACTAAATAAAAAGAGACTGTTATTTAAGGCGCGGAAATTTGAAATATTTGGACAGGAAGAGAAAAGAAAAGAAACCATAGCGAGGAAGGGAAAAAAAAAAAAAAACGCGAGCTAACGGTTTTGAAACTCCCCCACCCCCACCCCGAGCTTTCCTGCGTGCCCTGAGAGAGCTTTGGGCTTCTGTCTCCTCACTAGGGAGCTGGGGACCAGAGATGGAATCTGGAGAAGGAGTTCTGAAGGGACAAAAAGGATGCCTTCGCAGCCCCTCCTTAGAGGGTTTGGGTTCGCTAAAGGCAGGACTTTACCCTTGGGTCTCAGGCGGGAAGCTTGTCCCCTGCCTCTCTGTAGCTCCCTGCCTGAATCTATTTTCATGGAATTGCCTTGAGAAAACAAAACAGTCCCAAGAGTTCAAAATAGGGACTTTCCCCCCTAGCCTTTTGATGAAGGTTGCTTAGGGCAAGGTTGCTTAGGGCAGTCAAGAGGACCACAAGCACTAGCCTTTCCCGCTTCAGCACGGTGACTTATTGCTCCTGTGGACTATTATTATTTCTACCCCCGGCAAAAGCTGTAAGCACCCTTTTGGGATCTGAGATTTCGAAACAAGTACCCGGCCTCGGAGTCCACAACAGTCGTTTAGTTGTTACAAATAAGGAAATTTTAGAATATTACTGAGTGCATTGCCTTCCCAGGACAGAATTCTATCTACATATAAATCAGTTTTCCAGGGTGGTGAGTGGGTTTGTACACGAGCTCATCACACCATTGCGAGATACATAATGTTTATCAGAAGAGTATTAATTCATTACCAAAATAAAATACAATGCACTTTGCTTAGTGATTCTGGGACCAGAACGTGGTTAATGTCCTATTAACTCCTCAGATGGCAAGCCTGAATTCAGTTTACCCGGCAAAGGCTGAGCCTGAGTTTCCCAAGATGGATGCAGACCCAGGGAAGAGCTGAGTTTAAGAGCGCATCTTTGCTTTGTGTCCTTCCAGTTTCAGGTCATTCCACTAATTAGAACGTGGATCCCTAGCCTCTGCATATTAATAAATTTAGACACCTTCCCACCTCAGATCGCTGCAACGTAGACTCCAATGAACTCAGCAGCAAGGTTTCTTCTATTATATTCATTTCGGTATAAGAGGCATACTGAATATTGTTGAGGTTTTGAGAAATTGAATAATAGCTTTTCATATTTCCTAGAGGGGACCACATAAGTCATCTCTAAAATACTTAGATTAGTAAAGCTATTTCCTGCGAAGGGTCAAAGTAGTGTAGTGATACATTAATGCCTGGCAAATTTTAGACTGATGCTGAGATCGAACTCTCTTTCTCTATACTGTGATCCAACCACCTGAGAACAGAGCAATCGAAGAAGTACACTTCTCTTTAGTTTTATGAACATCCTGTGTCTTTATAATTGAAATCTCTAAAGGGCAACTTTACATTATGAACTAAGGTAAATGCTGATACAGAGGGTACTGACTTTAAATTCAGATTGCCTTCTTCCTAGTTGCAACTTGTAATAAGGGTCTGGTTATTATTTTTAGTAATAACCTTTTGTTTAGAAAATTTTCAGCTTACTCAAACAGGGTGTTTTATATATTGAGTCTTTTAAATTAAAAAAATAACACATTTTTCTTCAAAATTACCTAAAGTTCTATTTCATTCTAAACTCTAAAATAAGTATTTTTAAGTTTAGCTTCATGTTATTGTAAAAAATAAACTTATTTAGTAACTGGTAGATAGAGGAGGCAGAACTTGAAGTCTTATTGCACTGAACTTAGAAAACATGCATTTCAGTACAAAATCAAAGGGGATAAGTTTTTCCTCCTATATTCTTTTATAATACTATGGAAAATAAAATATTGAAGACCATTTGCCTATAGTCAATTTTAATCTTTGTTAGGGCAGACATTAGATCTATGTCCTTCAATAAACCTTGAAGTGTTTTGTTCTTTTTGGAGGGAGGGCAGGGAGCTTATGAAACAGAAGGAGGGACGTTTCATATAAAATATCATTGTTCATGTGGGAGATGATGAATAAAGTATTTATAAATGGTAACTGCACTGATATCTTTGATGAAAACTTTAAAATGATAGTGTAGATGTTTAAAAAGCCTGTTAGAGATTTGATATTTCTATTTTCTTCAAAATAAGCCTTTACTAAAAAAGTTTTGTAGGAATCAAATATCATATATCGTACCCAACCTTGTGTGGCACTGTGGGTGAATGTGTCAGACTGCAAAGTCAAGCTCACCAGCTGCTCCTTGGAAGCCCTATACAGGGTCACTATGGGTTGGGATATACTCGATGGCACTTAACAACAACTAGCCAACTTTACTTACTTACTGTGAGTTTCTACAATTTATTACTCAGCTCCTAAGTTAATTATGACTCATATGCAATTTATATATTTTCCACCTGAGCTTTTTGTCCTCTAAAAAATGGTATGTGTATTATATTTGACTAGTTATACATTTTATGACTTTACATTTGTAACAAACAGAAAAAGTCTAAGTTGCACTTATTATACTATGGTACAATTTTGGAAAATGTATTATTTAATCAATTGTTTTATTTTGTAGTGTTTGAAAAGTCAATTAATGGGAAGCATTTTTAAGGTGTCATTTTCTTTTAAAAGTAGCTTTTAGTGCTAACATTTATTTTTAGATTTTTACTTCTGAAGCCTGTTCTTCAGCTATTAATTGAACTTCAAGAAAAAGGGAAAATGAACATTATGAGAAATTCACACTGAAATCATCTCAGGTTTGAGCTTCAAAGATATGCTGTACTTATTTTTAAGCAGAAATACTGGTCACCAAGTAGAATAGTACGGGGCCGGCGGGAGAAGGAATGGGAAGAGAAAGAGAATAATAATTGAATCATCATTAGAATATGTCTAATTTTACAATTTGTTTTTCCTAATATCAAGACTTAAAATATCATGAGCTTTTTAGTACAGGTCTCCTTGGCAAGTAGCAAGTTACTTTATGGAGAAGGTGTAAAACCAAATGCAATGCCTTCTAGTAGATTCCAACTCTTAGGGACCCTATAGGACAGGGTAGAACTGCACCTTGGGGTTTTCAAGGCTATAAGTCTTGTCACATTTTTCTCCCACAGAGTGGGTTATATAGGAGTGGAAATCACAGAAAAACATTGTTTTGTTTTGAAAAGTGTTTTAATTAGGCAAAAGAAGCATAGGATAAACCATTTGAAAAACAAAGTCTCCAAGTTGAGTATAAAGTGTGTCAAAGGGAGAATCCAGGAAAAAGTCAAGGAAAGATAAAATATTCAGTAAGAAAGCCACAGCTATTTTCAATTACATGTTAGAAGTCAGGATGCTGCAGGTGAAAAAGAGGTTGCTTAAATATATTCATAAACCTGTAGTAAGATTGAAGCTTATTTAGTTTCAGCATTTAACTAGTTGCTTAAAATATGACAAAGCTGAATTTTAACAAATGTTAAAATACTCAGGACAGCCAACCAATTAACTGAAAAAGTAGAGGAATCAAGGGAGAGCCCTCCCCACATTCACTGCAGATTCACAGCTCCCCCTGCTCCATTTCCCTCCATTAGACTAACGACCTCGTTCCTCCGGTAGAGCCTGGCCAAATCACAGGCGGTGTCCCCCTTATGGTTCCGATGCCCCACGTTGATGGCCGTGTGCTTCACAAGGAATTCCACCACCGGGAGGTGGCCTTCTTTGGCAGCCAAATGTAAGGCCAGGTTCCCTTCATTATCCTGGATGTTAACATCAGCTTGAAACTCCAGCAAAGTCTGTAATGTGTCCAGGAAACCTGCTCTGGCCGCATCGTGAATGACAGCGAAACCAGTTCCGTCTTTCAAATTGGGATTAGCACCTCTAAGTAGTAGTCTCCTAGCAATTTCGGGATTTCCAAGTTTCATAACCTAGAAAAGAAGTAAAAACGGTAGAATCCTACAAGGAAAATTTTAAATAGCTATCTGTCCTATTTATCAACTATTTATTTTTGGTGAAAGGAGACGGGTAAGACCCAGAGGATGGAATTTGAAGGGCTGAATTTCATGAAAGAAAGTACCAGTAACTAAAAGTAGCAGAAAACTTCTAAAAATTGAGCGTTTATGATGGAATGTCTTAAGTGGCCCAAAAAGTAGGATAAAATCAATAAAATGGAACTAGTGGAACTTGCATAAAAACCATTGTCAATTAAGACCTGTATCTTCCATGAAGAGTTGTGTTACTTCATAAATTTATTAAAATAAATAGAATTTGGGATTTAAATGAGTAGAGTCTATGTTTGCTTATTCATATTCATAAGTGTGTACAGGGTATTAATTTGGGCAAAATAAATATGAGTAAAATTTATTTTCTAGTTACTGAAAAGAAATAAGGCCAGTGGCTTTCTTTTTAAACCTCCAAAGAAGCGTTTCAATGTAATCTCCATCATCTACTGTAAAAATGATCACTAAAAATCTAGACCTCATACTTTGTCTTAAATGATTAGTATTTAGTTTCTCTACAAATAGATGTAGTCCCCAATTTCCAAGTGCTGATTAAAAACACACAAACTTTTTTTTTCTTTGCAAATTATTTACTTTGGGCAAGTAGGTGTATTCTGTGCTTGGAATCCTTCATTTCAGATTACAAAGTGTTGTGGATTATCAAGTTGATAAAAAAGCAACAATGTTCTACATTGCTTATGATATCATTTTATCTAAACTGCATACGTGATATGCTTTGTATTAGAGATAGATGATTGTATGACCACTGTTCTTGAGAAGAATGAAAGTCATCCTATTAATATTACTTATTGTTTTTCAAAAATTCTAACTAGCCTCCCAATTTTCAAGTGAGCAAAAGAAGAGAAAGATATTTAATATGTATTTTGGGACACAAACAGCATTGTCTAGTGGTTTGAACCTATTTAATAACCAAATGGTGATTCATCTTATTTCCCTTTACAGTTTTTAATCAGACATTTAGGAATAGCTATTTGTAAACTGCCAACATTTAAAAAATCAGAATGTGATATTAAAATTTGCTATTAGCACACAAATAATGTACATTACAAAAACATATCTACTGATTTTAAAATATATTTCATCCTAATAAGAGGTGTTTTTAGGCTCTCATACAATTATAAATTATCTTGCAGAAAGCATTCAGTTATAAAACACGTAATTTAGTTGTAAAAAAAAAACAAAGTCTCACTGATATGAGAGACATTTTCAGCATTTTAATTGGTCTCGGTTCCACTTAAGAATATTTGTGATAATCTAAATTTATAATATATAGATTGCATTGTAGATACTCAAGTGCTCATGAAATTAAATTATAATCCATTGAAAAATATAGAGTTGATTTATCATTTTTAAATGTTTGTTTAAAAATAATCAGCAATTAAATTATATAATAAAGTACATTTAGATGAATAATATTTTATAAATACAAGCTATATAGGTTACCAGGATATTGTTTCTCTTTTGAGAAAGCTCTGCTGACGTTAGTCCTTCCTTTGGGGCAGTGATAAAAATGACACAATTTCTTTCCTAAGATCTTCAATTTTAATTTTAAAATTAAAAATTGACAGTTTAATTTTGGCCACAATTGTCTTTAAAGATTTAGCCTCATGTAAATACCTACAATGGGAAAAATAAGAAAGGCACCTTGGATTTTTGTAAGGCAAATTTATGATTAAGGCCTTTGATACGATCCTCAGTGATAAACTCATATTAGAAAGAAAGGAAAGCTTTTGTAATTGAGTTAAATAAACATAATTGTAGGAGAAAATCTGACATCTTTCATAGAAAATAATAGTGATATTGGGAACTGTTTTGAAAGAAAGTCTTTCTTGAGTTATGACATAACTTTAGAATCAGATTATGCATACTGAGAATAGGCCTTCAGACTCCTGTTTGTGTCTTTCATACGTATGTACTAGGACTAAGTCACAGTAAGTGAGTGTTATTACCATGATAAATATGTTTAACATGAGATTGCAGAGTTATATTTAAAATGTCAAAAAAATGTTTTTTGCAGTATTAATCTCCCAGTCTTCCTGATCCACAAAAGCACCGAAAGATTTTATTCTAAACATGGGTAAATGATTCATTCTTTGTGAAATTATATAATCTTTTGAGGTTTTCAACAGGTAATTTATCAATATATTAAGTGTGCAGCAATGCTATCATTACCAAACCCATTCAAAACCACTAGATGGAAAAGGAAAAAACAAAACAAAACCCTTTCTCTAATTAATATACCTGCAATAACAATATAAAGAATTTAGCATCTATGCATAAATTCCTTAATGTTTAAATTTTTGAAAGGTGAGTATATTCTTATTTAAAAAGCAAGATTAGAATGGAGTTCATCTATTAATAGTATATCTCTTGCTGCCTGCTTAAATTTCTAAGTCTTGTAAAACTAAAACAAAGCTCTCTAGAAATTTTTTTCCTAATGAGTCTTCAAAAACAGCTTCAAATGTATTTATGAATAAGAATAGTTCATAAGAATATTGTTAGAACTCTGATAAAAACAACTATTTGAGACTACTTGGCCTTATTTCTGTTTCTAAGCCTTTCAACTACGTTACATGATATCATTTAGAAGAGGAAAAAAAATTATCAGGTACAATACTTGGCAATTGGACATGTTTCAATTGTTGCCTGTAAATCTAATTACTAAAAATTAGAGCATACCACTGGCATGACCTCAGAGACAACTACAGCAGAGTTCTGATTACAAAATTTAACTTTTTTTTCTTCCTCACTCCTGGATGGGTGGACAGTATTACGTTAACTGTGAAATGTACATCCTGTCCCCATGCCCAGGCCACCCATTCCAAACAAGGAAAGGTCGTTTGTCAAAACTCGAAGCATTTGAAGAAAAAACACCCTCGACAGTAGTCAATAAAATTAATGTTAAAGTCAACTATTGAAGTAAAAGCACGTGAAACCACTAATAACAATGTATTTACTTCAAATAATAATCTTAATAATGTGTTTACAGAGCTGTTTGGAAAAAAAAAAAAAAAAAACACCCAAAAACTCGGCGCTGCTATGACTACTTTAAAATCTGCACATTCACAAAAACATCCCAAAAATTACGACTAAACTTGAAAACCACTTAATATCGAAGATGTTATTGTATTTGACAACTTTGTCAAATACAAAGACGTCATTTTTGGGGAGTTGAATCCACTTAAAGATACAAAATATGGCAACCAACTAGGTTTAAAAACAGCGAAATTTTGTACCCCTACAAGCTTAAAAACTGTCATTCTAGAAACCCTGGTCACGTAGGCAACATTGTTGACCTGTTTTCCCCACCTCTCTGGATACCAACCTGCAGTGCAGTCCTTCCAAATCCATTTTGTGCATTGACGTTTACATTATTTTGCAACAAACTAGTAAGTTGCTCTAGGTCCCCCCTGGCAGCTGCGGACGCCAACTCGTTCCCCCAAGGCTCGGCCATTCTTTAGGGTCCTGACGATCGGGAAAAGATGAATTAGTTGTTTTTCTTTCTCCCCTTTCTTTTGCTCCTAACCAGGCTGCATGATGGCATCGGAGACTGACAGAAGGACTGGGATGGTTAATCTTCTGGAGTAGAGCTTGGTAGTAAATACTAGTAAGATCAGCCTGCCAAAAGCCCGCCCCTCTATTCACACGTGATTATTCAGCAAAACTGAGCCGTTGGAGAGGGGCTCCTCTCCTCGCTTTTTAGCTTAACCCCTAGGAAGAATTCTGGTGATTCAACACAAACACACTTAAATTCCTTGTAAATTACTCTGGACGTAAGATGTAGGCAGAGCTGTCACGTACCTTCGCTACAAATCTCTGTGAGCAATGTGTGCTGAGACTTAAGGGACTAGACAGGACAGAAAACACCGCGGAAGAAAAGACATTTTGGGGGAGGGAGAGGAAAGGCAATAACCCACCCTTGTTCACGGTGGTGACTTGAGCTGCGTAAGCCAGAACTGCAGGGGCAAGTCCTCTGGGGGGCTCGGTCTCCATCCGTCGCGCGGAAGGGGTAATCTTGAGTCCTCCACTGCAAAGAGAGCGCCGCGGTGGCTGGATGCTGACGGGCTCCCAGGGGTTAAAGATGATAGCCAAAGGCAAACGGGGGTAACAGTTTCGTGGCCCTCAAGCTACTGGCCGTAACCACTCCCCAGTGGTCTTGGCTTCGCGGAAGGAGCCTTTAGACGCGTCCAGGCCGAACCGCCAGCTAATGCCGCTCAGAAAGGCTCCAGAGCCCGCCTGCCAGGCTGCCGCAGCCCCGCCGAGCCTCGGAGTCCGTGGGAGCCGGGCTCGGCGCGCTTCTTTGCAGGCGGCCGGGCGCGCATCGGGCCCCCGGCAAGCCCTTCATGCTGGCTCCACCTGGTCTACGGACTCAGGATAACCTAAGCAAGGAGGAGAACGAGGCGGAGAAACGTCTATGAGGCCCAGGCCATTGGGGTAGCTCGCGGCAGCATCGCGGCTGCACTGGCAGGCGACCGGTAACTTCCCGCCTACGACCGAGCCAACTCAGGCTTCCTACTATAGTCACTCATTGAGCTGCCGCCGCTGCCTTTCTCCCTCTTTTCTCGGTTTTCTGGGGTCCTCCAAAGAGCGGGAGGGTCCTGGATAGCGCAGGCTAAGGCTCCGAGTATGGAAAGTCGCCACAACTCCAGGGCGCAGTCAGTTCAGCCCAGCCTCTTCAGTGTCCCGTGCCACTTCGCCAACCTCTCGCGGTCCCCCGGCCTGTGACCCTAGACTGTGCCGCCGACAGGGCAGCGGCAGAAGCCAGCTGTGCCCTGGAGCTGAGTTGGGCAGCGCTGCTTCCTTTCCAGAAGAAGCTCTCCCACTGACAGTTAGTTTCTTTTGTAGCTGGTCCTCCCAAAATTGCCAGCCTTTGCTCCCTTCACCCCCTATAAGGCACTTGCGCGTCGTCCTCCTTTTTGCTCTTTTTCTTCTCTCCCTCCCTTGCTTCTTTTTTCGCTCAAACAATTGCTGCTTCTGTTGCTGCTGCAGAGACGGTGCCGGTTTCTTCTCCCTTTTTTCCGACCTCATCAGCTTTTTTTGAAAAGAAAAAAATTGAGCGCTTTTTGAGTTGAAAAACCCGCCCCCATTTTAACGGCAGAGTTTTAAGGAGGCTCTGTGGAGTTGCTGCGCTGCAGGAGCGGGAAGGCCGGGCGCCGCCCACGCTCCTCCCTCCGCCCTGGCGGCTCTCTAGCTCGCGGGCTCTTTGGCTCCGCCTCTGCGGTCTTGCTCCTTTCCTCCCGCCCTCTTGTCTCTCGCGCTGCCTCCCTTCCGCCAGCTCGGCAGCCAGGCCTTGGCTGGAGCGGCATTTCGGCCCCGCGGATCCCGGCTTGGCTTCTTCTCGCAGGCTGGCGGACTCGAGTATGGGACGCTAAACCCACGACGGCCCGGAACCCTGCGGGGGTGGGGGTAGGGAGTGAAAGGTTTCTTAAGAAGGCTATGGAGAGCCGCAGGGCCTGGAGGCTCGGCGAGGCTAGCTGCGGAAAGCTGGCGCTTAGAGAGCCTTTCTCCGGTCCTTGAGGAGCGGGTTTGGCCCGCCTCCACGCTCCCCCTGCAGGCTCGCGAATTTCTGGCGGCCAGGCCTACGGCTTGCCTCGTCTGGGGCGCGCTCTAAGTAAACTCTGCCTTCTTCACTCAGCCCCCACCGGGTCTTACCCTCGCACCTGCCAGATCAACTCCGAGGGTTGTCCTGGGCAGAGGTGACCTAGAGTATGAAGAGGAGAACCTGGAATGACAGCAAGCCTAGTGTTCAGAAAAAGCATAAGAAAACTTAAGACAGGGTATAGGGCCTAAGTCTAAGAAATAACGTACTCTCTCAAGCCACAATGTTCCAGGGAATAGAAGAGTGTGGAATATGCTATTCTTGAAGGAAAGGGAGTGGGGGATGAGGTTTTTGGTTTTGATTTGAATTTGACTCTTGGGAGACACTTCCTAATAAAGCTGGTTTCTTTGTTACCAGAATTTTTTCTTTGACTAGTTTTTTTTTTGGTTTTGGAGGGGTGTTTAATTGTAAAGAAGAGGTCTCTAATAAAGAGTAGTCTCTAATCGTTTGAGATATGAATCGTCTGCACTTTTTAACTCTTTTAACTATGTAAGATTACTATTTTCGATATTTTATGCTGTTTTAAAAGTCCAACAGTTTCGTGTAATACACCAACTGACAAACTGAAACCAAGCACAAAGTGACAAGCAGTCTGATTAGTCCTGGTCTCTAACAAGCATATCTTCCATCAACATCTGTACCCAACTTCTTACAGTATATTGGGAGTATTAACAACAAACCACACTTAACATTTAGATAATCATCTAGCAACAGTTTGGTGGGTAAGTAGAGGGATAGTTGAAATGGGATCGAACCCGATTTCCTTTCTTACATAATTAAACTTGAATTGTAAATATAAGCAGAAATGACAACAGGAAATTAACTCCTTTCTCTTTTCTTACATATTTAGGCATTTCAAATGGAACATTTAGGATTTCATTTATATCAGTAATGATAATTTACTTTTGGTTGTTCTGGGGATTTACTATGTAATCTTTTAATACAGCTGGAGAGTGTGATAATAATATTGACCAATAACATAATTGGCATATGTCCAATTTATGAAAGATGCATTCTGGCATTTATTACAGTTCCTTGCTTAGAAGAGATACTGAAATGAAGAACCTAAACTGCACCCATAAATTGAAGTATGGGTATACCTGTGTTACAATTTTCATGAAATAAACACACTTTATATTGAATTAATGTGTAAATAAAATCGATGGTAAAATCTTTCCAGTGTTAGGACTTCCAAAAATCTTCACATAGAGGTGGATTATGATTTTGGAGGTCCCCTTGAGGTCAGCGGTTTGAAACTACCAGCCGCTCCGCGGGAGAAAGATGAGGCTTTCTACTCCCGTAAGGATTTACACCCTCGGAAACCCTGTACAGGGTCGCTATG